ATCAATCGTATGTGTCCGCAGCAACTCGTATCGCATTCACCATTACTGCGCCAACAGCAAGAAATAAATGACTTGACTCAGTATTCGCGTGATTCATCAGTAAACTGGCCAAAGGTGTCTGGAATTGCGGGAGTAGCTGACTCGGAATAAATAAATACATTACATTGTATACACAAAGAGAAAATTCAAGAATTCATTAACTCGTTGGCGGTAGAATTAATACATATATCATTAATTGCACAAACATTTCATTGCTGTAGTCTACTAAGCGCTTTACACAATCAGTTAAGATAAATTAATTAATAATAAATATTATGAAAGAGATAGTATACGAAGAATTTATGAATACATTGCATGTTAATTTGGTGCCTACGTAAAAATGCAGCTATGGCGCTAATATTTGTTTAAGGATTTGTGAAACCAATGGCTCGATTATACGTTTTAATCATATTTATAAATTTGATTTTAAATTTCTGATTTATATTAAAAATTCTTTATATTTATTATAAATCACTATTTATAATTATTTTTTTATAATAATTTAATGTTTATAATTAATTATTTTTGGAAATAATATTGCTTTATTGTATAATAAACAACTATTTAAAAAATTTATATACGTTTATACGGTATATAATATTAAAAAAAAATGGTTTTGTCAAATTATATATATATTTTTTAAGGTAATAAAAATAAACATTGGATTAATTGAAATTTAATTCAATAATAACAGATATTAAAAAACTTATACAGATTAATATTCATATATTTTTATAAATTAATCATTATTTTATATTTTATTTATATTCATTCATATACAGTAAATAAATATAAAACAAGTTTTAACTATACTGCTATAAAAAATTATATAAAGTAACTATTTTAAGAAATCAATTTAAAAATATTTTAATTGGTTATTTTTATATTAATTAAAGAAATTTTTATATGTTAAAATTTATTATTGTAATTTAATTTATATTGTAAAATTTTTAATCATAATTAAATCAAAAGTTTATTTGTCAATTTTATAATATATAATTGGTTTTAAATTTTATAATAACACAACAAATAAAATATATTATTACAACAACAATACAATAATTAAAGAATATTTTCAAATATATAGTATATCACTAATTCAAAAACCTTTTGTATCAAAACAATATATGATACAATACTTGACAAGCAATACAATATATTATATAATACAAATATATATAATAAGTCTATACAACTTGATAAAAAAACAAATCAAAAACAATTAAAATAATAAAATATTTTTTTATACTTAAAAATAACTATCATATAAATAATAAAATATAATTTTACAAATGTTTTATAACTGTTATTACAAATTCAAAAAAAAAATCAATCTGAAAATCTTCTTTAATATTTTATATAGGAAATATATTTTGAAGTTGTTGTTTGCAGGTAAAGGTATTCAATACAATTATATTTGATACAATCATTACAAAGATAATAAATATTGATTCTAGATAAATCATTAAAGCAGATATAATTCATAAATATATAAAAAACTTATAGATTAAAAATAAGATATGTATAGATATTCCTAATAAATATTGTTATAGGAAAAATATAATGGATAGAAATAGGAAATTATAAGAATAAGTACAGTGTGAGTCATAATTTTTTAGAATTTTTTTAATTTTATATTTTATCTTATAATTAAATAAAAAAAATGATTAAAATTTTATAAAATTTTACTTAAATATATTTTAAAACTTAAGAATAAAAGTGTATAAATTTGGTTAAAAAATATTTATTTTTTAAGATTTTAAATGATACATAAAAATCAAAAAAAAATTTTTTTTGAACTGTTATAAACAAATATATTTTTAAAAAAATTTATTAAGATACTTTATAAGAAAAACTTAGACAAAAAGTTTTTAAAAGATCTAAAGAAAATAAGTTTTAAATTTTG